ACGTCAACAGCCTAGGCCATTAGCGACGAATACCTAGTAGGATTAGAGTGGTAAAATATTCAAAATTCTTTAAAAAATCTATCAACAAATAAAATCTCTTATAAGAATAGCAAAGAGCTTGTCATTGGTGATATGACGACCGTAAATATTTAGTGCGTAGATCGTTGCTTCAGAGTGGAATCTAATTTTGGCCATGTGGTGAGTGAAAGGGTTCTGTGGACACTTGTGTATAGTTCCATTCTTCATGATGGGACGGATACAACATAGCTGCTTGAATTTGTGCATTAGGTTAGAGTATAATGCGACGGTTCCCCTGTGGGTAGGTGGGGGGGGGGGGCGTGAAAAGAATACTTCCAACGTATGTCACTGCATGTCGTAAAAGGCATAAGGTCCCCCTACCAACCCACGCAGGGCCAGCGTGATAGGGTATGGCCCACCCTCTCCCCATGTTGATACACGTCTCAAATAACATTAAGACCGTCGTGGAAAAGTCTGGGAAAAGCCTTTGCCCAACAATAGATGTTAAAAAAGACAGAGAGCAATAGAGAAATAATGTGATGGAGGTGAATTTCCCTTTCCTTTATCGTGATTTAGTTTAGAGTTCTGTTATCCCTTTTTAATACTCATCTGGTTCATATCTAAAAACAGAAATAACAGATTAGTCTTTCTTTTTATTTGATCTCTATTCAGTATCTGATTCTACTTGTTGGTTTGTTTATGATTTCATCGACTTTAGACAGCTTCATCCGACTGTGAAAAAGAAAAACATGTAAAGTTTTGTTTTGATTTTATGTATTTAAGCGAAAGCTAATGCGTCTGTACATTATTTCATTTACCTGTGCTAAAAAAGAAATGAAGCTTTTGACTATTAAATATATGATTATCAAAAGGATTTAAGAAAAAACTGTATTTAGTATTTATATGTTTATCAGATATCGTATTTAGAATAGATTAAATTGTCTTGAAACAGAGAGTTGGATAAGTCAAAATGATACTAATTATCAATTCAGATTTCTTGTGCAATTTATTTTGGCAAGCAGTTCTACTTCAATTAACTTCCTGCTAAAGAGGGTATATAACTTTATCATACAGCAGTACAAAAAAGTGCAGGTATGTATTATGTATGTATTATTATTATCATCATCATTATTGTTGTTGTTTTGTTATTGTTATCATCATCATCATCATCATCATCATCATCATCATCATCATCATCATCATCATCATCATCATCATTATCATTATTATCATTATCATTATTATAATTATTATTAATTTATCATTAAGAAGCTCTATGAGGACGTTAACCCCTAATAAAAATTATTGTAGTTCACGGCTGGGTTAACTGATTGATTAATTAAAATTATATGTCGCGTCAAGAACTTAAGTAATTAGCGGCAAATATAAAAGTCAGGACCAAGATTCTTCAACAAACAGGCTTCGAATTCCCATCTCGAACCCGTTAATGCTACTGGAAGTCTTTCTGATTGCGTTGGGAGAACTTCGGAAAGAGAGAGAGAGAGAGAGAGAGAGAGAGAGAGAGAGGAGAGGAGAGGAGAGAGAGAGAGAGGAGAGGAGAGAAGGAGAGAGGAGGAGAGGAGAGGAGAGAAGAAGAAAGAGAGAAGAAAAGAAATAGATAGAATTTGACCTCGAATACGGGATTTCTAGAAGTAACCCATCTATCGTCCACCTGATAAAGTGTATTTTATTTACGGCCAGTCTTCAAAAATTAACTTTATTCTACTGATTTATAGATTTTGATTCCACATACTGGATTTATGACATCTATAATCAAGTCTACGCTTAAAATGAAAATGAAAAACAAAAATAGATCCATATAGATATCTAAGTACGCTAAATTGATCTAGATACCCCCCCCCCCACCAAAAAAAGAAAAGAAAAGAAATGAATAGAGATTATATATATATATATATATATATATATATATATATATATATATATATATATATATATATATATATATATAATATTTATTCAAGTATTGTACCTGAACTGAACTCGATCAATAAAACAATAATAATCTGCCGTTGCTTATAAATAAAATCAAACTCGCTTTTTGTACATGTGTTTTAGAGTTTATTGCTCATTAGCGCTAATAGGTAGTTCGTTGCCGTTAATAAGCAAGCGAGTTAGGCTCCCAGAGGTGGCATTTCACTAAATACTCTAAATTGATTTTATCATATTGGTGAAATCATGAAATGATATTTGAAACGCTACGTTTTTGGAGGCGGTATGCAAATGGGGTTATGAAGATGGTGTCGGTGGATGAATAAATGTGTTGATAATTTTCGCTTTCTCACTATCACACACACACGCACACACACACACACACACACACCACTCCACACACTCACACACACCCATACGCACAGATGTGTGTATATATGTATATGTATATGTATATGTACTTATGTATATATGCTTGTGTGTATGTAAACACACACATACACATATATACCTAAATATATAAATGCACACACTTGTGTGTGCGTGTATGCACTACACACAGGCGTAAGTGCGTGTAAGGTTTTGAGCGTGTGCACATGTGTATAGTGTATGATGTGTGGATAGATTTTTTTTTTTTTTTTTTGCATGAAGGTGCGTGTTAAGGCTCGGTCCCAACAGCAACCTGGCACCGCCTGGAGGCCGGGGCGCTGCAGTTTTCTTTCATCCTCTCAATATTTCATCATGCTAGCGTGTGTACCCACTTACGGGCTAAATGAAGTGTCAATAATTGCATTGAGGTCACAGATGCACTCTTTTTTCCCTCTCTTTTCTTGCAGTTCTCCGAGCATATAAGCGTACAGTGTGCACATGCACATAAGCACGCACGTACTTATACACATAGAAACTCGTGCATGTCATATAACATTCACATCCACAGATACATATATATACGCATACAAACCAATATAAACACACTCATAGAATGAGAGAAAGACTGAGGGAGAGAGAGAGAGAGAGAGAGAGAGAGAGAGAGAGAGAAGAAGAGAAGAGAGAGAGAGAGAGAGAGAGAGAGAGAGAGAGAGAGAGAGAGAGAGAGAGAGAGAAAGAAAGAAAGAAAGAAAGAAAGAAAGAAAGAAAGAAAGAAAGAGAGAAAGAGAGAGAGAGAGATGGGAAGAGAGAGAGAAGAGATTGGACTAGAAAGAAAAAGGAGAAGAAAAGAAAATAGAAAACAAAGAGAGAAGAGAAATTAAAAAAAGAAAAAAGATAAAGAAAAAAAGGAGAGAAGCGAACAAGAGAATACGAAGGAGCAGAAGAAAAGAAGAAGACGAAGAAGAAGAAGAAGAGAGAGAGAGAGAGAGAAAGTGAGTGAGAGAAAATGAAAGAAGAGCAGAAAACGAGACAAGCCAACACAAAACAAGAAAAAAAATCCCGAAGTTAAGAAAAGAAAACGAAAGTGAAAAGAAATCGAGACAAACCAAGAAGAAGAAGAAAAAAGAAAATCCTTTATATCTCACCTTAAAATGCCCGAGATTTTCCACCACACAGGTTAGTTTGGCCGTTCTTCCGACTCGCGCAGTAACGTTCTGGACTGGAATTTCGAAATACGGCGATTCTGTGGAGAGAGAGAAGTGAGTTATTGGCAGAGTCAATGATTTCTTTTTGGTGTTCTTGGCGTCCGTGTTTTGCAAGATGGACGAGGCTATACGCTGTGTGTTTATGTGTGGGTTGTGCGTTTGTGGTTATGTGTTTATGCTGGTTGAAAAATGAAGATAAAAGGTATATTTGATTTATATTCATCTATTAATTTCATGTTTTTTGCCACATCAAAAAAAAAAAAAAAAAAAAAAAAAAAAAAAATCTTTTACTTTTTCCTGCAACGTGTCATAATTCGTACATGCACAAACAACAGCAATGAAAACAAATGATAAATGCATTGTTTACATTTTGAAAAAAATATGTTACTCCACCAGGCTTTTGCAGAGAGAGAAAGCAGACGTTTGAGCTGTCACGTTTCCATTTTTACCTTAGGGATGTGTTTGCGGAGTAATGATGCCTTTAATGTCTTTTCCCGTCAAGACATCTGGCGGAGGTTATTCGTCTTGAGAGCGCTATCGCTTTTAAGATGCAGGCTTTCTCTTCTCACGTCTCCTGACTCAGTATTCATTCTCAGGCGGTAATACGTTTTCATCTCTGTTTCTGTCTGTCTGTTAGTTTGTCTGTCTCTGTCTCTACCTGTCTGTCTGTTTGTCTGTCTCTGTTTCTGCCTCTCTCCCTCTCTTTTCATCTCTCTTTCTCTCTAACTCCCTCAAACCCCTCTTTCCTCACCGACCTCACCTTCCCCCTCTCTTTTTTCGTTTTCACCTTCCCTCTCTTTCTATTTCATCTTTATCACCTTCCCTCTCTCTCCATTTCTTCTTTTTCATCTTCCATCTCTCTCTATTACTTCTTTTCCCCTTCCCTCTCTCTCTATTTGTTCTTTTTCACCTTCCCTCTCTCTCCATTTCTTTTCTTCCCCTCTCTCTATTTCTTCTTTTTCACCTTCCCCCTCTCTATTTCTTCTTTTTCACCTTCCCCCTCTCTCTATTTCTTCTTTTTCGCCTTTCTCTTCTCTTCCCTCTCTCTTTTCACCCCTCTCCACAGACATCCACAACAGAAATTCTGACCCCTACTTAAGGAGCAGTTCATTTCAGAAGACTTTCTCGCTAACTTTTATAACAAGAGGCTATTCAGGCCATAACTTACGAAACAGGGGACAAACCGAGCCCATAACTAGGTTTATATAATATTATACTTGGGGGGAACTTAGCTATGTTAATGATATGTTAAGCCGCTGATGTGAAAGCATCGTAAAAAACAAGAAAAAAAAAAAAAATAGTATTTTTTATGTATAAATCAACAAAGGAAATTTTGTTAATGCATATATTCATGCTAGGGTGTTTCTCTTTTTTATATTTTCTGTCGATGAAGGATAAGAAGAAAGAAAGGAAAATGATTTATGTATGACGTGTAGGAGAGGCAAGAATGACTAAATATATTTTTCTTCCTCATTTTCTTCATATTTTCGGTACTTTACTTCTCTGCGATTCTTTCTTTTCTCTTCTTTTCTTCTCCATATGCCATGATATTTGATATGAGGCTTTTTATTTCCCAACTAATTCTATGGACATACAGTTTATCATATGTTAATACATTAACATACACATTAGCAGTCTTGCTCACAGCTTCTTAAACCGTCGTTTGACCAATTGCCAGGTTTTATAGGCCTAGATATGTTAATGAACTATAGATCCTCATGAAATAACTTCAGTATTAGCGTCTTGGTGTATTACTACATAGCTAAAACATTTTATATAGCTAAAACAACCACAATCTAAACTCTCGTGAGACACGTTTCGAATTCCGTCTCTATAATGTGATTCATGTTTGATTCAAGAAGAGCGACTCGAAGCTTCACTCAGGGAATACGAATTTTATGAATGGCTATGTGAATCGTATAAACAATTACACTTACTAAGAATTATCTTCACGCTTTCGCTTTTGTGTTTTATTTCATCGTGTAGGTTTTCTTTTGCTGTTTTTCTTTTTTCTTTTTTAAGGGGTAGTGATCGTAAAATCTGGTTAAAATACACACCCATACGCGCCGAATAATTATGAATTCATCATGATAATAGCATTCATAATTAAGCATAGTTATAGACTGAGGACGAAAAATGTGACACGGGTGAAAGTTACTTGTGACTTATACGCATTATTGTCGAAATATACAAAGGCTTCAGAGAGAAAAAAATATTTACTCGACAAGTGCTTCTTCATGCAGTGCATACAAGCGCCTGAAGCATTTTTGAAGAAAAATGTATAATAAATAAGTATATAAAAAATGTGTGTCCAACCTCGCATTATCCTTCATCACTTATGAAATGGATGACGTGTAAAAGATGAAGAGAGGGTGGCCAGATGACGAAAGAGGGAAATGAAGGAAGATGAGTGCATAGTAGAGAAGGATAGAGGGAGAGAGGGAAAAGAGAGAGGGAGAAGGAGAGATAGAGAGGAAGAGAGAAGGAGAGAGAGAGAGAGAGAGAGAGAGAGATATAGAGAGAATGATATAGAGGTAGGTGGATAGATAGAGAGAATGCTATAGAGAAAGATAGATAGACAGAGCGAGCGAAGCGAGAGAGAGAGAGAGAGAGAGAGAGAGAGAGAGAGAGAGAGAGAGAGAGAGAGAGAGAGAGAGAGAGAGAGAGAGAGATAGGAGAGAAAGAAATAGAGATATATAGATGGATAGATAGATAGATAGATAGAGAGAGAGAGAGAGATAAAGAGAGAGAAATAGAGAGCGAAAGAAATAGAGATAGATAGATAGATAGATAGATAGATAGAGAGACAGACAGACAGACAGATAGATAGATAGAGCGAAAAGACAAAGAGGAGAGATGCACATACACACACACACACACAGATACAGACAGACAGACAGATAGATAGATAGAGCGAAAAGACAAAGAGGAGAGATGCACACACACACACGCACACAGATACAGACAGACAGACAAACAAACAAAGACAGAGAAACGAGACACATGCAGACATCTTCATCACATATGAAATGGATGGCTTCTAAAAGATAAAGAGAGGGTGGCCAGATGACGAAAGAGGGAAGATGAAGGAAGATAAGTGGATAGGAGAGAAGGAGAGAGGGAGAGAGACAAAGGGGGAGAGAGGGAGGAGAGGGAGAGAGAGAGAGGGAGAGAGGAGAGAGAAGGAGAGAGAGAGAGGAGAGATAGATATATAGATACATACATAGATAGGCAGATAAATAGATAGATCGAGAGAATGATATAGAGGTAGATGGATGGAACAATAGAGAGAGAATGATGTAGAGAAAGATAGACAGAGAGAGAGAGAGAAATAGAGATAGATAGATAGATAGATAGATAGATAGAGAGAGAGAGAGAGAGAGAGAGGAGAGAGAGAGAGAGAGAGAGAGAGAGAGAGAGAGAGAGAGAGAGAGAGAGAGAGAGAGAGAGAGAGAGAGAGAGAGAGAGAGAGAGAGAGAGAGAGAGAGAGAGAGAGAGAGAGAGAGAGAGAGAGAGAGAAGTCGAAGAGGAGAGATGCACACACACACAGATACAAACTGACAGACAGACAAACAAAGACAGAGAAAATAGAGATAAGCAGAGACCGAAAGGAGAAAGGCAAGTTCATGCAGAGAGACCATTTCATTCCGAACGCAAAACCTTCTGTCGGTCCCTTGAGCCCAAACCTGCACACAACCTTGCCCTTGTTGCTCCCAAGGCTTAATTCTCGACAATAAATCAAACTGCATAATTAGGCCGTTGGCGCGCGTGATAAAGTGCGTTTATAACACTTAATACATGTTAAGAGCCTCTTCTAATTGCTAGTTAAGACGGCGTAGTTACCGGGTGTGAAATAACTTTGGTCGAATTAAGTTTAAAAGGATTTGTTTCTTGTGGAAAAGTGTTTGTTTGTGATGTCGTGTGGTTTAAGACTGTCGCGAGCTACATTCCGAGACAGCGTGTAGTCAAGATCCGAGTGCGTGTGTGCCTTGTGTATGTTTCAGGGAAGTCTGCTTGTAGGATTGGATTTGTTTGTTTTTTTTTTATTTATTTATGTGTTCTTGTAAAACACTGTAAGTCGGATAGTGATAGTGATGAGGAAGACAATGAATAATAAGAATAATCACACACACACACACACACACACACACACACACACACACAACACACACACACACACACACACACACACACACACACACACACACACACACAACACACACACAGCAGCAGTAATAGCCACGGAATAAATGAAAGGAAGGGAGAAAACGCCAAAATAACAAAGGGAAAATTTATCAGAATAAGAAAAACGCGCAATAAAAACGCAAGAGCTCACACCTAACAAGAGAAGGGGACTTAAAAAAAAAGCGGATTGGCGAATGGAACAGTGATTGGGGAAAAGGAGTAAGAAAGAGGAAAGAAAAAGAGAGAACAGAAGAGACGAGAGTAAATGGAAGCAAGTACGACCCTGGGCGAATGGGGAGGGGGGGGGGGGAGGGGAGTATAGGATCCTGGGGGTCGTCTCGCTGGCTGTTCCTGGGTCTTTTACAACTTATACAAGTCCTTTGCCTCCTTGATTATTCCTTAAGGGACTTTAAGGACAGTTTTCCTCTGTCTTCTTGACTTCATATATTTGATTCTTTATATTTTTTATATACGATTTTCTCCTTTTTTATTGATCAATAGGGCTGTTATTTACCGCCTTTGTACATACGTAGCATCTGACCTGAATGACCTGTGACCTCAATAGGGAGACGAGCAAACACTAGCATATGCAAGTGATGGCCAATTAACGTTTTCAAAAGAGTTTTATTTTTTCTTGAAGTCTCGAACACGTAGCCAAAAGTTCACGCTGAGTGCCTATAACCCAAGCCTCTGCCTACAATTTCGAAACAGACAAATCCGAAGCAAGTCGGGTATCAGAAGCCAAACAATCTGGCAAATATTTCAGTTCACTCTATATATGGAGGCCACTATCTCTCAGTCAGACGTTACTGGATAGTCTAAAAGAATGAGATCAAATAAATAAACAAATGAATTGATAAATAACGCTGGTAATAAGGAAATAGATAAAATACCATAAATGAACTTGTGGATGATGTTTGATAAGAACAAATATCAGATGATGGTTTGAATC